AAGAGCCCCTGAGGGTGGGTGGCAATAGAATAAAGGAACATTGGCAGGAAAATTGTGGCTAGATCAGGAAGAAATATGTGAGAATACCCCTCCAAAAGGAAGAGAAGTCCTGCTGTAATGTAGGGAGTGTACTGCCCCAAGAGACTGGGATATAGAACTCGTGGATTCCACTTTAGTGTTTGCAGCACTTCTGTACATAACACTGAACTAATCATTTAGGGCAAAATTTCCATGAATGGCCACTGATTTTGGACACCCAACTTGGAAGCTGTACTTTTTTTTTCCAGAGATGCTCACACTAGCCTGTAAACAGATGTCTAAAAGCCATTTGGCCACCTAAAAAAGGAGGCACTCCAAACTCATAGTCACATGAAAACTCAGGCAGAGAGGCCAAAAATATTCAAGATGGTGTGAAATTATATTTGTTTACCTGTCAAAGTATAAGGGACTTTCAGTTTCCTGGACAAAAGAGTCAAATACTAAATAGTAGTAATAGTAATGGATTAATTGTGTAGGGCACTTTTAAACTGAAGTTGGATATAGTTCTAGGAGGGATGCAAAACCTGATCTCTGAAAAAAAATTTTTTTTAATGAAAAACATCTACTGATGTCCAAAAGCATGTCTTTGAGGCTATGTCTACACTGTGGGGCTGTGTCTACATTGGCAAGATTTTGCACAAAAGCAACTGCTTTTGCGCAAAATCTTGCCACCTGTCTACACCGGCCACGAGTACTTGTGCAAGAAAACTGACATTCTAATGTATAAAATCAGTGCTTCTTGCACAAATACACTGACGCTCCCGCTCAAGGATAAGCACTCTTGGGCAACTGTTCTTGCACAAGAGCCCAGTGTAGACAGGCAACGTTAATTTCTTGTGCAAGAAAACCCGATGGCTAAAATGACCATCAGTGCTTTCTTGCACAAAAGAGGGTCTACACTGACATGGATTATTTTGCGCATAAGCACATCTCTTGCGCTAAGGCACATGCCAGCGTAGACGCTCTCTTGCGCAAATACTTTAACGCAAAAACTCTTGTGTTAAAAGTATTTGCTCAAAATCATGCCAGTGTAGACGTAGCCTGGGTGTTTTGTGGAAGAGGAAATGCAAATGGAGCGCTCATTTGCATATCTTGTGCTCTCATTTGCATATCTTCTTCCAAACCTTTTTGCAGAAAAGTTTTTGTGATTAAAAAGTCTTTTGTAGACGGGTCCATTTATCGGAAAAAAAACCCTTTTGCGCAAAAGCCTGTAAACCTCATTTTTTAGTATAAAACTAAATGAGATAGGGAAGGGATATCTACTTTCTACTCTGCTATTTTTATGCAGCTTAATTTCAAGCACCTGAGGCTAAGTGCCGAAGGCTAGATAATCTTCATTTCTCTCTACTAATATGATGTTTTAAAAGCCTGGGGCTTTTCATCCTATAAGATATGTATCTCTCCTACTGAAGTTAATGAGTGAGAATCCCATCCTGTGGTGTGAGAAGTGAGCCCCATCAATCATGATAAGAAATCCTGTGAGCAGATAAGAGAGTACAGCATCATAACTCAACTCAATGCATGTCGCACTGGCATACTTACGCTTTTCATTGGGCTGTCCCGTGTGGAAGAGTGTTAAGGGTCTCTCACTGCAGGAAGGAGGCTTTGAATCAGTACTCTTCTTACGAGATAGCAGCAGCTGCGAGTTTGGCGGTAGCGTCTCCGGTACAGTGTTAAATATCTATAAATAAAAGGATGGGGGTTTGGTGGGGGATTTTATTTATTTTTTAAAGAAAGGTCAAGTGTTGCCATGGAATAGGAAATGAGGTGGGGAAGGAGGGAGACCCAATTATTAGCACAGAGTCACAATAATGAAAGCACCAGCCTTTGAAAATAAATTGTTTAACAAATCACCTTTATAGGGAACAGTCAAACACGTGTTAAATTCCTTCCCACCCCAATCATACTCTCCTTTCCTCTACTCCTCACCAAAGCCTTTTTGTTAAAACCCGAATAATTCTCAAAGCCTCATACCCTTCCCATGTAGAAAGTTGGCTCATGCTTAGCAGCTGGCTGTGGAAGTGACATACAGAAAATAAAAATAAACAGATATCTATAGATTAAAATATGCTTGCTGTGCAGCTGCTCCCCATAGGCTGGCAGTTTACAGGGTATAGTGAATTTCTTTGTAACTCCCAGGCACAGCTGTCTGAAAACTGAGTTATCTTTTTGTCCTAAAGGGAATGGAATTTTTAAACGGGATAAATTGAAACAGCAGCTTTTCTGGTGCTATTTGTTTCTTTTCTTTAACCCAGGGTTCATACCGAATTGGGGGGCCCTCAAAGCTATTCTTTCTAGAGCTCCCCCAATGAGAACGCATTAAACACACATTTCAGTACCATTTTCTACTCCAGCCCTCTGGGCCCCAACACTTCAAAGACAGAGGCTGTACTAGGAAGTAAAACTGCACAATACTAGGACTGTAGTTTGCCAGAGGAAAATGGGTATTTCAAAAACACCTCACACCCCACTCCTCCATGAATGCAAGAGAGTCAGCCAGGACCCAGCTATAATAGAGCTTTCAGATGTGTCCAATCCCCTGTATAAAAGCTAAAAAATTCTGTCTGCCAATTAAAATGAATAGCTGCCAGAAATTCACTGCTTTATTATTTTGTGTGACAAAAAACAAAAACAAAACCCAAACCCAACCAACATAAAACAACTCCACACTAATTTTTAAAAATAAATGCAAAAGCACAGAAACCTTAATCAGCTATTTTAATGTCACATCCCTCCTGAAGTTTTCAAAAAGCAGGGTCTGTGGTAAATGTTAGTGCTCAGGGTCCTTTAAGAAGTGGTATTTAAATTATTCCAACCTAACTGGACAGCTGGTAGTAAGCCAGACTTGCAGATCATCTATCTTGGTCAGTATAATTCTTCAGAAGTCTTGACCAATAAGTAATGCTTTGGCTAGCCAAGTGCCTGGTTATTGCTGCACTCTATGTCCTTGCACATTCAGGTGGCCTGATAATTGAACTCAACCCGTTGAAGTATTATTATGCATGTCAGTCTGAGAATGGCATAGATTTGGTTCTTAAAAAAAGAAGAAGCATATCACCATTTTCTATTGCAACTTTTTCCAGGGGGCACCAAACAATAGCCACTTACCCATATGGATAATCAAGTCCTCTGCATCACACAGCGGATAGTACATCAACCAAATTCCCTATCTGCAGATACAGCTCAAACAGAGAACTATTATAGGCTAAATACCAAGTAAAGGAATAGGAAATGCCAATTACTAACTTTGCAAAAATTCTTTCCATATTCTGGGCCAGCGATGAAGGCCCTGATAAATGAAAAGTTGCACTTGAGTGTAAGTAGTTGGACAAACTGCAACACAGATCACGTATTTCTACTTTAATGCTCCTTTTCAGGATCTGCATAGCAAACTCACAAAAGCCAAATTGCATGAATGAATGTGTATCAGCTGAAGGAATGCCAAGCCCTGCTTGTTTGTGTGAGTTAGCTCCCTTTCAGTACAATTGCTCCCTTAGGGTATGTCTACACTACAAAGTTAGTTCGAACTAATGGACGTTAGTTCGAACTAACTTTCATAGGCGCTACACTAGGGCTCCGTTAGTTCGAACTTAATTCGAACTAACGGAGCGCTTAGTTCGAACTAGGTAATCCTCATTCCACGAAGATTAAGCCTAGTTCGAATTTACTAGTTCGAATTAAGGGCTGTGTAGACCCTTAATTTGAACTAGTGGGAGGCTAGCCCTCCCCAGGTTTCCCTGGTGGCCACTCTGGCCAACACCAGGGAAACTCGTATGCCCCCCTCCCGGCCCCGGACCCCTTAAAGGGGCACGGGCTGGCTATGGTGCCCGTGCCAGGTGCAAGCCTGCCAGCACCCAGGCAGCAGACCCTGCACCTGGCACGGATTGAGCCACCCACCCGATGCCCCCCAGGCCTCCCCCTCTTCCCAGGGCACTAGGCACAGGAAAGTGGCCGTCTAGGGCAGGAGAGCTGCCAGCCTGGCCACCCAGGACCAGGTGTGCATGAAAATCAAGGGGGTCCACTGAGACCCCCGACACTGAGCCCTGAGCTTACAATGGCCGTCCTGGGTCAGACCAAAGGTCCATCTAGCCCAGTAGCCTGTCTGCCGACAGCGGCCAACCCTAGGGATCCTGGAGGGGATGGACCGAAGACAGTGACCAAGCCATTTGTCTCGTGCCATCCCTCTCCAGCCTTCCACAAACTTTGGGCAGGGACACCACTCCTACCCTCTGGCTAATAGGACTCCATGGACCCAACCTCCATCACTTTATCTCACTTCCCTTTAAACTCTGTTCTAGTTGTAGCCTTCACAGCCTCCTGCAGCAAGGAGTTCCACAGGTTAACTATTTGCTTTGTCAAGAACAACAACTTTCTCTTACTAGTTTCAAGCCTGCTACCCATTCCTTTCCTTTGGTGTCCTCTAGTCCTTCTTTATGGGAACTCAGGAAGAACTTTTCTGAATGCACCCTCTCCACCCAACCCCTGCTTTTAGAGACCTCTATCCTGTCCCCTCTCCGTCTCCTCTTTTCTAAGCTGAACAGTCCCAGTCTCTGTAGCCTTTCTTCATCTGGGACCTGTTCCCAACCCCTGATCATGTTAGTTGCCCTCCCCTCTCCCAGCCTTTCTCTTCCCTTCTCCCACCTCCTTTTCCCAGTCTCCCCCAGTTTTTTTCAATAAAGACAGAGTCAATGTTGGAAGAAACGTTATCTTTATTTTGTACATCAATAAGAAGGGGGGCTAGGGAAGGGTAAGTGGAAGGAGGTGAGGGAGGAATGGGGTACGAGCCCCCGATGGGGAGGACTGGGCTGGCTCTGCGGGCTTCTGGGGGTGGAAGCTCTCCCCCAATTGCCCTCTCTTCCCAGATGGCAGCCTGCAGCAAGTGCAGCCGGTCTGATGGCCGAGTGCTGTGATGTGCCCAGTGTGGGTAGTCCGGGCAATCCAAGCCAGGACTGCTTTGCAAGTGGGGCACCCTGAGAACTGTCTGTCCGGGGTATGGGTCGGGACCCTTTAAGCACAGCCCTCGGCTAGCCTGAGACAGCATCTCCATGCTCTAAGTCCTCCTCTGATGCCCTGCCGGCACTGCTTCCGTCCATCCTTAAGCCTGGTTCAGGGTCCACTTAATGTGGACATGCTAGTTCGAATTAGCAAAACGCTAATTCGAACTAGTTTTTAGTTCTAGATGCGTTAGTTCGAATTAGCTTAGTTCGAATTAACTAATTCGAACTAAGTTAGTTCGAATTAACGTTGTAGTGTAGACGTACCCATAAGTAGCTTGGTCCATTTTATGGGCTAGTCTTGCTCGGTAGAAGAGACCAACAGCCAGTGGCTGCTCTGGGTAGCTTGACACACATCTCTTTGTTCTTCTGACTAGCTTACACAGTATAGAACCTAAGCACTGGGTGTGGATCACCTAATATTCAGACACATTTGAATACTCCTATTCAATTCAATGAGAAAAATGTAGTCCAACACTGGTATAACTTGTCATTTCAAACAGAAAGACTGATACTTTAAGTAGGATCCACCAAAGATTCTAGTTTCTTGTATTCTAGGTCATCTGACCCAGAAAACAAGATATGTGGGACAAGATGCTATTCTCACTCTGCTCCATTAGGGATTTTTATCTACAGAAGTCGTAGGGCTAATGACTAATTGCCCCAACAGTAGTTCCTTAATCAGAACAAATGTTTAACTTCCATTCTTTTGCACCTGTATTTTGACTTCTCATCAATACAACTCTCAGCATGGGAGTTGTACTAAAACAAACAAACAAAAGGAAAAAGAAACCACTGTTTATTAATTTGATTATATGTGACAGTTTCTCAGAATTAACTTCTAACAAAAAAAGCCAAACAAAACAATCAGTCACATGCTTCAGAGCAAATATGTATGTAACTTTTAAGTACATAAGGCTTAACTGAGACTGTGATTTTAATTTTGCAGGAGCCCATTATAAACTAATTTAATTAAATGTATAAAGTGTGGCATCTCGTTCATGATAATCTACCATAATTTTGCATTGCAGTTAAAATTTTTAATTGATCTTAATGTTTGCCCAATGGGTGGTGTGATATTTATTCACGTAGTCTTGTGTTCATAATTTCAGGAATGCAATTTTGCAGAATTAGAAATCACTGCAGAAAAGAGGCTACAAGTTTTCAGATCCTTAATCAATTTTATCATTGTTTCCTTTCCATGTAATCCACTCCTTGCAGATTGCTAAATACATATTTACAGAGTGGAGTGTATCTGATTTTATAGCCTACATGTCATTTACTGAGTTAACTTCAGTCATCCAAAGTTCAGTTAATACCCTCTTCATTGGTGTTTCTGCTATTTTATACACTTTTTTTGTTATTAAACCAAAACATCTCTTATGAACACTGTCTTCTCCCTCCCAGCATATTTTCCTTCATGTACCAACTTCAAAGATTAAGAGTTGCTGGCCCTACAAATGCCCACATTTTAGCAAATCAAGGTAGTTCTTTTATATACAATTTGCAGCTCTGGGTAAAAGCAGGATAATAGCATGTAGAGTTACTGTTAATGATCACAGCATAATTACATGGTTCTGTATGGTTAATTTACTTAGCTCAGCCAGGACTGACTTACATGACAGTCTGTAGTGATAGCATTACATCAAATCTTGCTGAAAAAAGAAACTAAAAGTTTTCTTCAGGA